ACGACGCAATCGAGTGGGATTCCCTAGTCTACCGTTCCTACACTGCACTCGGATCCTACCAACTGGTGATTGATGAGGTCGATTCTTCTACACCGGCTGACGACTCTGTTGATCCGCTGCAGAGATCGGTTAAATAGATGGAGCAAATAGGGCGATACAGAAGCATATCATTCGGTTGACATCTGAGTAACATTCAAACGTCGGCGAGCGTCATGCTTACATATAAGAGCACATGTCTTAATAGCCTCTCGCAGGACAAATCAGTGGATGTTGTGCCCGTCTCTAGGCTTACCAGCAATGCATCCACGCTCATCAACTGCCTTGATCCCAATAACTGATTCATTCATCTGCAATTTTGGAATTAGGGCTCTTTAGAAAATGATTCTTGCTCTTCTCGTGAAGATCAAGGTGAAAAAAAAGAATTATGTCTTAAAGAAGATGAAACTTATTATGAAGTTCAAAATCCTTTCATTGTAGGATATAAGGATTCTTGGGTTGAAAATGGTTGTTATGTTTGTATTATTATTTTTTCGATTCAGATTTTCTTCACTAGGCATCACTGCCTCCATGACATCTTCAACTGCTTCTTATGCTTTGCTTCATCCGCCTTTGCTTCGGCTCGACACTCATTCCTAGATCGATGACTTTGGCTTCGGCAAGCCATGGATCTTTTGGGCTTTGAAAATCTCAGATTTCGACCACTCAGGCCTTGACACTTTTGAGCTTTGGCATTTTTGGGCTTCGGCCCTCTTGGGCTTCGGAAATCTCAGGCTTTGGCCTCTTGGGCTTCGACCCTCTTGAGCTTTGGCACTCTCAGGCTTTGGCCTCTCGGGCTTCGACACTTTTGGGCTTTGATATTTTTCGGCTTCGGTATTTTTCGGCTTTGTCCTCTCGGTGTTCGACGCTTTTGGGCTTCGGCACTTTTAGACTTCGGTCTCTCGGGCTTCGGCACTTTTGGGCTTGAACTTTTTTGAGTTTCGACATTTTTAGGCTTCGACACTCTCAGGCTTCGGTACTCTCAGATTTCGGCAAAATTTTGGTTTCGACACTCTTGAGCTTCGGCATTTTCAAGCTTCGGCACTCTGAGGCTTTGCATCAATTTTTGAGTTTCGACATTTTTAGGTTTCGACACTCTCAGGCTTCGGCACTCTCAGATTTCGGCAAAATTTTGATTTCGACACTCTTGAGCTTCTGCATTTTCAAGCTTCGGCACTCTGAGGCTTTGCATCCACGGCTTAAGGATTTTTTGTCCCGGCATTGTTATCAGTTTCTTGTTAGCAAATTGATCCTTCATGATCAGTCGACATCAATTTGAGGGGAGATGTCAATCGGGAAGTACAAAATCAGACAACTAAATTAGAAGTTTTTTATAATTAAAAGCTTCCTTATTTTCAATCTCTTTATTCTGACTTATTTTCCTTTTAACTGAATATTTAGATTAGGAATATATATTATTGAGTTAACTAAAATAGATTATGCACTTTATTTTGTACTTAAAATAGATTGTGGGATTGTTATTTAATGGAATAAAAGCAAAGAGAAAAGGCAATCGAGTTTATTCAGTATTCAGCATATTTTTCTCAAAATTTTGACAGTAATATAACAGTAGTGATTTTTGTAAATGTTGAGAGAGAGAGAGAGAGAGAGAGAGAGAGAGAGAGTTAACATCAAACATAATATCTGGACTCAAAGTTAAGTATCGTAGTGATCCAGTAGGATGGTTATATAAGGACGGATTAAAAAAGCTTCTGTAGAATCAGTTAGAGCTTTGGTATAAAGTGTTTGAGGATTGGTTAGAGATTTGCATTCTTTCATACCAGCTTTAAGTAGAATGTCTTTCATAAAGCTTGCTTGATTGAAATGATATCCATAGGAAGTAGTTTGAAATGGTGATACCGAGAAAGGTAGATACAGCGTCCCGGAATTTCGTGGAAAGGGTTTGCTGTAAATCTTGCTGAAGTTGCTACATCAAACAGTTGTTATTTCCTGTTAATAATATATCATCTGCAAAAAGTAGAAGACAAAGTATATGAGACCGATGATGGTAAATGTAAAGAGACGAATAAGTTTACTGATGTAAACCCCAAATTCGAGAAGATGTTAGGTGAAAGTTTGATTCCATTGTGTTGGTGTCTGTTTAAGTCCATAAATAGATTTCTGTAAAAAACATAAATGATTAGGATGCGCGATATCTTTCTGACTTGGAGGTTGATGCATATAGATATTTTCTTGAAGTTGACCTTGGAGAAAAGCATTAAAGACATCCATTTATATTATTTTCCACTGAAAATGGAGTGTGATAATGAGAAGAATTCTTATAGTGGGAATATTTGCAACTGGAATTAAAATATATTGCATAATTAAGTCCATATTCCTTTTAATATCCCGAAGCTACTAATCTTGATTTGCACCTAGCCACTGATCCATCTTTATTTCATTTAATCTCGTATGTCCATTTGCTTTCCATTATTGGCTGACCTACTGGTGTAGGAACAAGTGTCTAAGTGTTCTGTTTTAGCAAAGCTTGAAACTCCTCTCTCATATCTTGTTTCCAATTATTGTCGTTAGTCGCTTGTTTGTAAGTGATGGGTTCAGTTTGGACGGATAGGACATGGAGCAGATTAAATATGTGTGGTTGGATAGAAATCCCCTTTGGGGTCAAGTAATCATGGTGTGCTTAGGTGGAGGTGGTTTTTCAGTGAGGGCTTCAGATAATTGGCTGGTTTACGATGTGGGCTCAGTTTGAGGTGGAGCTAGAAGAATTGTAGGGACTGTGCGAGTAGCAGAGTTATTAGGAGGTAAAGTTGTTTGGTTAGTATGTATGATGGAGTGGGGAATGACAGTGAGTGGAGAGAATGTGCTAGGAGGTTGCTTAACATTAGCCAGCAGTTGGAGTTGATTGTATGGAAATTTCCTTTAATTAAAGTTACATGACAAGAGTGGTGGGATCAGTATATTTATAACCTTTATTGTGAGTGGGATATCCAAGAAAGACACAAGGTAAGGATGCTGAAGTTTGTTTCTGTGAATTGGTGGTAACCAACGATAGCATTGGCAGCTATGGTTTTTTGGATGATTGTAGTCAGGTAAATAGCCATAAAGGAGCTGATCTGGAGATTTATAAGCTATGACTTTGGGTGGTAGTTGAATTATCAGGTCAACGGCTCTAAGAACTGTTTCAAGTCAATGGGATGGAGGAATGTTGCAGTCTGCTAAGTGTGCCCTGGTGGTTTCCAAAATAAGTCGGTGCCTTCATTCAGCTATGTCATTTAGCTGTGGGGTATGGGGACAGCTCGTTTGATGGAAACTACTAGATGTATTGAGTAGTCTTTAGAATTTATGGCTAATATATTCACCCCTATTGTTTGTCCGTATAGCCTTTGTTATTTGATTGAATTGAAGTTAAACTTCTTGTTTGAAGTGGGAAAAGTGAGCAATGACTTCATATTTGTGTATCATTGGATTCATCCAAGTATATCTGGTAAAGTCATATATGAAAAGTACAAAATATATGTATCCTTGAGCTGGAGTGGTTGGGGATGAGCCCCATATATCTGAATGAATTAAGGTTAAATGTTTACATCGAGAATCGAGAACTGTTAGAATTAGAGAAAGAACTACGATAACATTTAGTTTTAACACAAGAATCACAAAAAAAAGAAATTGTTTGAAATATGTGAACTTTATTGTTGTTTAGTTATAAGTTGTAGAGTTGGTTGACTAGCGTGCCCAAACCTCTGATGCCAATGATTCGATGTAGTGGTGAATTAATACTTGAGGATTGGTGTGAATGTAATACAGTCCATTACTGCAGGGACCTTGAAGGAGAAGCTGCTAGGTAGCCTGTTCTTTTTTTTTTTTTTATATCCGTTAGCATAAAAAGTAAAAAAGTAATGATGCAATCATTATCACGAGCTACTTGAGAGATAAGATCAAATTATGAGATATTTGAGGAGTGTGAAATAAGTGGTTGAAAGTTAGCTTACGATTGGGGGGGCAGGTACTACATTGAATGGGAATTGTGTTCCCATTGCCAACCATCACACCAACGGTAGACCTACAGTATGTCGAGGAGGGTAGTGCGATTCCCACCACCACCACCCCCCCTGAATTTCAGAATTTAACTAAATAAGCACACATCTTCGGGTTTTGCCCCTATTGAAGATTACTTTTGCCCCTTTGATGGCCTAGCGACGCCCCCTGTTGAAAATTACCTCGTTACATATATATGTAAGGTTGATCTCATATTTTTTTTTAAATTAAATACTAATGCTTTAATATGATATAAAAGAGCTACGTTAAATAAATATATAATGTAAAATTTAGGTGTTACTTGTATAAATATATAACATATATGTAAAAAATTAAATATGAGGTGTAAGCCATCTTATACATATCTATGACAATATATATTTTACATGTGATATAAAAGATTTAGGTGGTATTAATGTAAAAAACAACATTTAGGTGTTACACATGTAAATATGTAAGAACTGTGTTACATCACATGAGTTATTTTTTTTTCCCTTTATAAGTGTTTCAAGTAAAAATTTTAATGACTTTTTAAAATTTAACTTATTTAAGTTTTTCATGCAAAATCAATATGTTAAATTCTTTTTCAATTCTATAAATACTCTTCTAACACAATAAAATCATTAAAGAGAAAACAAAGATTAATTTATTTTGGTGCAACTTCTATCATGAAAAAAATTCATTTTCTATTTCTTAGTCAAATATTTCCTTTTTCTAACAAAATTTAATAGTTATAAAAGAAATAAAAAATAATATATTGAAAAAATAATTAAAATAGATTGCAAAGTAATTCTATTTTTTTAAAATAATATAATATGTGTTATCAATCAAAATCTGTACCACACCAACATTCAAAAAAGATTTTTACATATTTACATAATATATAAATTATCTAAACCAAATTTAAGTGAGAATATAATATCTCGCGCAATATTTCTCAAATAATAATATAATACAATTTCGCGCCAAACTCTAAATAAATTTCAAGCTCCGCACAGCTCGCCCTAAAAAGCTCATCACTTTTAGTTTCTCGTTACCTTTCACATCTTCCGTCTACAGCCGCATCCTTCGCCGGAGAAACAAATTTCCTCCATGGAGCCTTTCTTCCACCTCCTACGTGCTCGTTCGTACCGGTACTTGTGCCGTCGTTGCTGCACCACGGTAGTGATTGATCCTTTAACCGCAGTCAGACTTTTCTGCCCCATCTGCCGGGAGAGCTTGATCCAGCAATTTGACACTCCGAGCACTTCTCCTTCTAGCTCACCCCCCCTCAATCTCCCAGCCCCGCCTCTCCTCCCTAATATCCCCTCTAGGCGCACCTACATGTCCCGATACGCCACATTTGAACGTCGGGATCTTAGTAATGATAACTTACACGTTATATTACTACCTGGTTTTTTCAGTTGCCCCTATCCCAACTCTCCACCCTTTGTCACCCCCTTGCCCCAAAACCATTCTGTGATTACTTTACAAATACTGCAAAACTACATAGACTATTGCGCCAACAAAGGTGCGATCATCCATTGCACGGTCCCGTACCCTCAAGCCTACCCTGTAATGGATGATCTCATCAGATTCTACGGCCCTCGGTTCGGCCCTCAAGCTGCGTCAATGCCGCCAGATCTAACGGTGACTGAAGATTTTCTTGCTTCCGTCGACTCAGAGTGCTCCGTGTGCATGGAAAGTTTCAAGGTCGGGGATGTGGCGATCCAGTTGCGTTGCAAGCACACACACCACAAGGAATGCATTGCACCATGGTTTCAAATACAGAACTCGTGTCCACTTTGTCGGAAGAGCAGCTTGCCCCTTTGGTGGAAGAGCAGTACAGGTGGTGATCGAGAGTCGGATTCTACCGTGGGAAGATTTAGCGTCGTGCTGCAGTGGCCGATCCATTCGGAGGGGGAGCGAGAAGGAACAGAATTAGTGTTATTCCCAGATTCAGCGGCCCTGCTTGAGGCTCTTGCAAAGGTACTTTTATGTTCTTTTCTATACCCGCATTACATATTTTATTTATTTATTTTTTTTTAATAGAAATAGGATTTTTAAACTCAACCTCTCGATCCCTTGTGGTTCTGTCGTGGAAAAAATCAAGGTACTAATAATATGACAAGTCAACAGGAAATTTTATTATCTTCTAGTAGTGTCATTAATCAACTTAACATATTAAAATTGAACAACAACTCTTGGTTTAAGCTTTCCATATGAACTCTCAGGAAATCATTTCTTTTTCAGCCCGATTTACACCAGTTCACCTTTCTTAAAAACCATAACTTCCATGGGCTTGTTGGTCTGTTTCAGGTACTTGATTTTCTGCTTAACAATTTCCTTCCTCACCTGCTCAAGTATTGAACCCCGACATCCATGTTAAGTGCAACAGTGGGCGATATGGAGACCAAATCCAAAGGCGTGAGTGGATTACACCAATACACAATCTCAAATGGACTGCGACATCTAAACTAACAAATATAATAGTTATAGATAGGTAAACTCCACCGGAGGAAGACCCAAGTCCCACCGCCTAATGTTCCTTATCAAAAACATCAAAATATACTTCCCAAATTGTGATTTACCCATGTTTGCCCATTTGCCTAAGGGCGACATGTTGGACTGAATCAAAGCTTTGAAACTAACTCACCCCATTAAGTGATCCAAAAATGATAAAGAAATTTTACATCTATGTCAGAAGTAATGCTCTTGGTGCATATAGCAAAAATGCCGACGTGAATCTCAAAGGGATCGAACGGCTAACGATGGAGACCCAGCGATCGAAGTTTCGAGCCAAAGAGCAGACATTGATAAACAAACAATCGATGACCTCCACAGACCGAAATCAACTGACATACGCAGATTGAAATCAGCCGATACACCTGTCAACCGACAAACCATCGATCGAGAGAACACAACCGAGTGATCGAAAGACTTTATCGATCAATTGGATTCCTTGAAGGAAGAAACCCTGATGCATATGTTCGGTCGACATAGCGATCGAACTCGGAGCGTCCGAAGATCAACAAACATTATAATAATGTTTGTTGATCTTCGGACGCTCCGAGTTATAACCGTTATAATTGTCGACCGAACATATGCATCAGGTTTCTTCCTTCAAGGAATCCAATCGATCGATAAATTCTTTCGATATAGTAATATTCATTCGACATACACGTCGATTTGGTTATTTGGGCAGTTATAGTAACCATCCCCTTTTTTCATGTAATTTTATTTTGGGAACCCTATGAATGGACGATCATGCCATAAATGAAGACAGAACAAACACACATTCTCTCTCTCTCTCTCATTCTCTCAGCTCTAACTCTCGGGACGTGTTTTTCGAAAGACAATTTAGGATTTAACACCTGGGTATACCATATAGACGAACTACAACCCATTAATCTTGAAAGACTTGGTCATGTTTTTTCTACAAAAATAGCACTCAAACAATGCTTTTTATAAATCGGAATTAGATGTATCATATAAAAATTTACAATTAATTATAATTATTGACACTGGTTTAGATAAAGAAACACAAAACAATAAAAATAAAAAAATCAGCTAGGGTTATCAAAATAATTAAGTTTTATATATATACAAATACACACGCACATAAAAATATATTAAATTATATTTAAATAATGTTTTAATATGGGTAATAAAATTTAAATCTCTCCCCAACCCTTAATATCCTAAGGTTGCATGACTAGAGTTATCAAAACCACTATTTGTTCGCGAATAGTTTGTGTTCGACTCGTTGAGCCGATCATGAACATATTTTTTTTTTGTTCGGAATATAAACGAGCCAAACATGAACAATAATATTTTTCAACGAGCTGAACACTAGCTGAACCTGGACTTGCTCGTGTTCGGCTCGTTTACACAACTAGTGGCATTCACATACATACCACTCAATTTCTATGAATTTACAAATCTTACACCAAAATTTTAATTTCTCATATTTATATCACCAAACCTCTGGTATCACATTAATAATTATAAAATATATTAGGACTCAAAGGTTGTTATAAAATAGATAAAAATATGATAGAATATATAAGTTGAAGGCAAATATTAAGGGTGAAATTGTAAAATTAAAACTTTGAACAACTTTTAATAATTTGTTGTAATAATCAAAAGCTTAAAAATTACCAAAAAAAAAAGAAAAAACCTTTAAATTAACTTTAGCGCTTCGAAGTGCGTCTCAATAAAATGAAGGAAAGCAGGTGTCACGCGCTTTGCTTGTGAAACGCTCTTTTAAAAACATTTATTCAAAAAACTAATGACAATACATTAATCAATCACTCATAACAAATAACAAAAAAAAAACACAAAACTTTCATAGCTCATCAAAAAATTAATATTCCAAAGTAGTAAACCAAGATTTATAAAATATGAAGCATATATTCACCTTTAAAACAAGCATAGAAAATAATCAATAACATCCAGTTCGGCTATCAATTGAAACAAACATTCTGAACATTGCTGCAAGAAAATTAGTAAGTTATGTATATAAAACAAACAAATATTTAAGTAGTTAACAACAAAAGCTCGGGAATTGCATGGAATAACATTAAAAAAGTGATAAACCTCATCTTTGTCACATACGCCAACATCGGTTGAGCAAACTGAGCAACAAACCGGATGAAAAATCACATTTTCATTATAATCCTGATGAAAATTACCATAATCTGTAAGTCTTTTAGATTTCCTTTTGCTCTTACTCTGTTCTCTTAAGATTTGACCAGTTTTGATTGTGTAGCATACAACAAACATGGCTCTGTACTGGGTGGCATATTTCTCATGCCTGCAGCAAAGTTCAGTCAAGAACTGTAGAACACTTAAACATTTTGTAAAAAAGTTGAAAGAGAGGAATTGAAAAGTGGAAATGAAAATAGTAAGGGACTAGAAATTAGCTTTTACTCACATTTTTATTAATAGGTTTTTTTTTTGTTAGTTAGATAAACGATACAAGTATTAATTTTTCAAGGATAAAGACTGCAATGATATAAGTACTAATTTTGATTAAGATTAAAAAACATTCAATTTAATTCAAAAGAATAAAAATTGATTGAATAATTAGAGGGGAGAGTTGTACTTATGTAACAATCAAATTACATGTAATACAGTCATGTGGATAGTGGCATAAAGATAAAAACCACAACAATATTAGAAAAACAGATTGAATTTATGCCCAAATGAGCAACCATAAAGTTGATTATGAAAAATATAAAAATAAAAAATTTTATCATATTATAATTATTGAACTTGAAAGAGATGGCCTAGTTCAATGAGAATTAATTTTGCAAGAATAAATAAAAAATAGTTTAGAGGCATCTCAAACATATGTTACGCATGACTGCCTTGTCATTAGTATTAAAAGTAGTTGAATTTGACAAAAAAATTTATCAATCACAGTAAATAAAATCAAATATATATGTTTTGCGTACTGCTGACAACATAATGGAGAGACTTTAATGGAAGATGTGTTAATAAATAATTTTAATAAGTGAGAATCTCTTTAAAATTAGAGCTAAATTGATGAAAAATAAAATTTATAAGAAAAAGGACTCGGAATAGATTAGAAATTGACTGCATCAAAATCAATTAACTGGAACTGAAATTTGAAAGTAGGGAAATTTACAGACATACCACACCATTTTATGTATTTGCATATCTAACACCATATTTACACTTATAACACATTCGTTTTAGTCATGGAAATACATAAGAATTGTGTGGTATGCATATAAATGCCCCTTAAAAGTATAACTCAAAAATGCTGATGATGAAGTATATGTTTAGTTGAGTTACTTGATCAATTATACAAAATATAAGGTTACAGATGATTGTTTATGTTCCAAAAATTAAGTGTGGATTAAAATGGAGAATTGCCTGATGATTACCGTAGGGCAAGAATATCAAAGAGCTTTCAAAGGTAGATCTTTAAATCCACCATAAAGCTGTCTATATTATTTGAAAAAAGTTTTGTATGATAGAAATTCATTTATATAGGGTTTCAACCTCACCATTTGTTTCTAAAACTGAGAACAACTACGCATGCGCTGCCAAATATTAGCGGGCAACAAACAATTACCAAATAATTAGTGTTTAAAGTGGAAAAAAAATAATATTAAAATAGATAAGTGGGTAATGAAAAAAATGAGAAATGATTTTCTAAATAGCGGTGAAAGTTTCACCTAATGCATATAAGGTACTAACATGGACAGAGTTAAATTTTTAGGCATATATAATGAGAGGTACAAAAGGCACAAAGCACTTAAAGTGATAAAGAAGAATAGAAAATTTTGGAGGAAAAAAGAAAAAGGAAAAGTAGACTGAAGATTGCAGGTTTAGCATTTGTGCAGGAAAACTGCACAAACTAGAGTCAACATCACAGGCAAGGTTCATAAAACAAGTTACAAATCATTGGTGCTATCAACTTCTTTCTTATGCTTTCCTATCATCATCCTCCGCCGTAGTCTTTTCAGTAGCAAGCCAACCTCTACATCGAACTTCTACATGATTTACTTGGCTAAATATAGCTCATCAATCTATCAATCTTAGTTGTGACCACAATCTTAGTTGTGACCACTGTGACATAATGGCGATTATTTTCTTAAGTATCCCATTTTTATCTCATTACTTTGTGTCGATCCAAACTATTAAATTATCTCTATCAATGTTCTCTAACACTATTCTTTGTTGATTCTCAATCATTACTCTCAACGAATGCTCTCTATCGTTCCTCTCCATTAATGCTCTGTAACAATACTCTCCCTCAATAATCTCGATTGATGGATCCAATAAGGAACTTGCCCAAGTCTTTTCTAACACAAATCTTGTTGCCAACTCTTTGCATCCAATTCACAATACTATC